ACGTCTCAAAAAAGGTGCCGCATATACTACTAAACTTTTTTTTTCTCACCTCGATATAAACCAACCGTCCATGTGAAACAACGCATTGATCGTACACCAGTCCCGTTTTGAAGATGTGATTCTGTTAGGAACGTGATGGTCATCATCTCTCGTCTGTTTTTGCTGCTGTTTGGTTTTTATTCCACATGCCTTCCCTGTGGGAAGGCCCTTTGAGATACTGAATGCGTGTTTTCGTAGCTAAAAGCTTTATTCGAGTGCTTAAATTGAAACAGCCGTGTATGTTAACTTGCATGCTCCTTCAGAGAGCAGTGTTAGGGGCTTTGGAGTGTGTCTTGCCTTAAAAACAAAAGGAAGGAAAAGCCTCAAGCCACACGAGCAAAGGGTTCATGTTTTCCTGCAGCCTCTACGCTTCTTGAAACAAACTGAAAATAATAGTACGTTGTGAAAGGCTACATTTAGTGGAGGAATTCAGAGGATAAGGGCCCTACGTGTAGGGCAGGTATGAACAGATATTTTACAAACATGGTATAGTGATATTGGGGACTTAAATTTTTGTATCTAACATCCATTCTGACCATTTGGGAATCAACAGAGTTGTGTTGATTCCATGAGCAAAATCTAATCTAGTTTTCTCAAGTAACAGCTCTGAACCAGCTTGTGTTTCCTGCTAAGTAGTGCATTTTAAATATGAAAACACGCTACCATTTTCCATTTGTCTTATGGTCAGTGGGACAAATCCAGCCTTGAAACAGAAAGAGACAGTTAAAAGGTCTTTGTTAAATTGAAGCTATAGCATGCAGATTGATGGTAGCCAAATGCTTTCAAAAAATGAAAAGCAGCCTGTGTTTGCCTCTATTTTGTAAAGGTTTTTTTGGAGACGGGCATCATAGCTCCTTACAAGTTCCTATGTAACAACAGGTTTAATTGCAAATTTTAGAAACAATAGTCAGAATTAGGAAACCTGGATTATGATGTCATACTGAAAAGAAAGCAGACCTGTTGTCAATATCTGTGCTGAAGGAAGGTATGGAGAAGCTATGGAGGAGTCATGGATGTTTTATTTTACAGTAATGGGGGCTTCAAAAAAAAAATCAAGATTTGGACTGCATAGAAACAGTAGCAGAGCTAGTTTTGAGGATTCTGCCCCACTGTGATGACAGCCATCAAAATAACAGTGAAATAAATGTTGTGCTCCTGTCTAGGAAAGAGAACTGTGCATCAGACAAAACAAGATTTAGGTTTTATTGTTTCTTTGCAAACAATTTCTTCTTTCCTCTCTCTTCCCCTCCTTTCCTCACTGAACTAGGTGGACATGGTAAGAAAAGTGTTTTCTTCAGCAGTTAGCAAGTCGGGTATGAGAGAGAGAAGAAAATAAAATTTACCTTCGCTTTTTTATTTTTCGTGTCTGCCTTTTTCTTTCCCCCTCTAAAA